TACTAGTCTAGTTTAAAATAATAAAGGCATCTTAAAACTTAATGGCCAAATAAAAAGCACATTTAAATCATTGTGATATTTATTGTTGCAAAATTGTAATTTACAAAATCTTCATAAATTGACTTTCTTGATTAAAAATGGCTGTCTGTGTGAATGCTCCTTAAGATTACATTTGAATACTTCAGAAATACTGTAAAAAAAAATATATATTTTTTTTTTGGCCAGGCTGTTTCAACCCGCATGGGCTAATGGAGTTCATGAAGAAGGAATGTGGTCTGATCAGCTCTGATCGTGGATCTCCGCTCTTCCTGTCTTTGTGCATGCCTGTGTTTGAACTGAACCTGGAACATTGAGGTCCTTTTTGTTTTTGTAATACACCATTTGTAATATTCAGTTTTTAAATGATGTTTTATGAATTATTGTATCACATTATATGATAATTTTGCAAGTTGGGTGAACTACTTTATCTGCTCTAGAGCCTCTGTTGAAGGTGAATATTCAGGGAAGCAGGGCTGGTCTCTAGTTTCTGTATTTCTGTCTGTCAGAGCCACACGCCTGTTGATTCTGGTACAGTTTCTTTCAAAACAAAGTGCATTCAAGTCAAATGCATGTAAATTCACCTGAAGTGCATTACTGAAGCAATAGTCCACGTGCATGATGCCTTGCGTCTGCAGACACTGAAATGTGACGCTTTATTCTTGCCATTTTAAGGTTTTATCATTTAATGGTCCGTGAAGACTTTTTCCTGTAAACAGTGGCACTAGAGTTTGCAGACACGTATTGAAAATTATTTGGAATATAATACGTTTTGTTACTGTCTGTGTGCTCAGTAGAGTGATTTATACAGCAAGTTGAAAAGTAAGAGGAGGTAGAAAGTGGGTAAAGAAAAGAAACCCTTTGATTTTTGAAGTTGATGAACAAACAGGAAATAAGAAGAGGCTGCAAACATGTCTCTGTGGCCACAGAAACTCCAGTGAAGGCTGTTGGTGGTTTCATTTCTCATATCAACTTATTCTTTTTGTTTTACCATGCTGCTGTGTACGTCACACTAAAATCGACTCAACATTACCAAAGGTAAACCTATGCATCTCCAGTTTATGCCTTCAAAGTGCCTCAAAGCTATTTTTTACTTTCTCACTGAATCAACCTGCCGATTGTTTCAGCAACAGGAACTGTGATCTGTCATGTGATACTTCCTGGCCTTAATGACTAATTTCGTTCAGAATATTCAATTTGTTTGCCATTAATTTGTTTTTATTGGTGTAAAGCTTCATTATTGTTTTTAAAGGAAAAAACTAACCCAATTTGTGCCTTACTGTATGTTACTGTATGTGAGTGGTGATGTAAACTGAAGATCTATAGAACCAGGCTGAGATTTATACATATTATGTTCTGTTTATTATAAACAATAAACTATTAGTGTGCGCTGTACTTTATAACTTTTCGATTTATGGCTTTGTGTGAATGCGTGTGTTTGCACAAATGCTGTTTGAGTATGAATGTGACATGACATACTATTTCAAATGAACAAATCGTGTTTGAGCGTAAATGAAAACAAGCACCCCATTTCACTTTATTTGAAAAGGTTACTTTATTGAAACACCTACAAAAATAAGACAACAACACAGGCAATGACACTGACTAACACAGGCAGGGAGTCTAAAACAGAGACAGACAGACCCGATTAATAACAGATAGCAATATTAATGAAGAAAATTATGTCCCATGAAGTATTTACATTTTTCATTATTTATGAAACATGAATAGCTGAGGACAGAACATGCCCAAAACTATATATATATATATATAAAAAATACAATAAAGGTTCAGGGCCTCAGTGTACCAAAAAAGGTTAAAGGTCATTCAATAAGCATAATCAGCATGGTTATATAACCATTTGGGAATCACATTCTTCTGTGTATATTACAGTATACATGTTGCTCTCCACCCCCACCTACACACACGGTCTTACTCTTAAATGAGGAAGAGGTCTTTATCTACAGTCTGCAGTATGCAGTTGCGTACTGTAGCTTTAAGAGAGTTTCCTGCAAATGTCCTACAGGTTTACATAGTAAATTCAGGACAAATGCTTTGCTTATTTTTCTGTTCATCCAGTTCATTTCTCATTCTGTAGGCAATAACTTTGTCAAACTTATTGGTGTAAATGTATATGTCTGTGGCCACTCTGCTTGTTTTTTCCTCTCTTTCTCGCTCTAAATTGTTCCAGGCCTATTTCTGGCAAGTCCAGGCTCATATTCAGACTTTTCAAATAATGCATTGGTAGCCAATTCCATATATCCCATTCAAAAGCATCTTTAAATTCTACACAGAATATACTGATGCCCAAAAGTTCAGGAAGTGCATTCAGCTTATTCAAGTCAGTGCACATACTGGCAGGTCATTTCAAAAACCATATGCAATCATTTTTCGTGTCATCAAATAAATCACATTCACACTTAACGCCCGTTCACTCCAAGAACAATAACTATATTGGTGTCTAATAACTACATATTTATCATAAGCATGTGATGCAATTATTCTGCCACTTTAAATGCTCAATGCTCAAGGATTCAGGTGTTGGGGGGGGGGGGAAATAATTCTGAAAGTGATTCCAATGATATTGTTCCTTTGTGTCATTATCATGTGGTTGTAGTGTGGACTTCTTATTGTTAGAATTTGAATCATTAAAGCTTTATAGTTATCATCCTTAGTGAGAATGGGCCTTAAAGAACAATATCATTGGAATTACGTTCAGAATAATTTTTTTTTCTAGCTGATGGATGCTAAAACATTGACAGCCAATCAGAATCCACCCAGCTGTACAGAGCTTGAGTATTTAAAGTGGACTACAATATAACTGCAGCAAGTGCTTATAATAAACAAAACATTATCGTCTATTGGTGTGAATGCTAGATAATTATCGTTATGGTCATTGTTCTTGGTGTGAACAGGCCTTTGTAGTCAATGAAGGATGGAGTGACTAAATGTTGAGATAACTGAGGAAAGGCCCACTCAAACGAAGAATGAAAGCGATACCAACACACGATAATGCTCTGTTTATTACAAGCACAGGCTGCAGTTTAAATGCTTAAGCCCCTTAAAGTCAGATTTTGATTGGCTTTCTGCATTCTGAATGCGATTCCCACCATATTGTTTCTCTGTTGATATCATTATAGCGGTGGAGTGGGTTTCCTTGTTCTTACAGAATTATAACGATTATTAAAAATGTATAATTGTAGTTTTTGTCCATGGTGTGAACAGACCTTAAGGGACTATTTATGTGCAGACATACAGGGGTGGAGTCACAAAAATCAATTTTCTATTTTGGCATATCGTAAATAATTCAGCCATTTATGTACATCATTTTGAATACACACCAAAAGACGTGTTACTGACATTTATCCACACTTTAAATGGTTCTCCAAGAGGTCAAAAAATGATTTCATATCAATGAGATGAAAACGTCCCACTCAGTGTTGAATGTTTAACGAGCATTTCTTAATGATGAATTACCCTCCACCACAGAATATACATGAAAAACTGCCTGATACAGCCTCAGATTGTCTACATGACTACGAATGCTAGCAAAGTTAGACTGAATTTACTGATTCAAATGTTATTCACTATTTTCACTTAATATGCACTATTTCTGTATTTCTGCTATTGTATGTTTTAATACGCATATCTGTCAAATGTTTCCCTAAATGGACAGTTTATAGAGCCGTGTGCTTTTGTGCTGCCTGTCATCTAGCTATGAAACCCTCCACCAGTTTATATGATTATGTTTCGAGATCTATTCAGTGTCTAGGGAATGAAGAGACATTTTTCATACAGGTTAGAGGACCAGGATTTAAGGTTCAGATGCCAAGCAACATTTTATCACAAAACCAATCCCACATTATTCCCGTTAGACTATCGTCAGCGCTTAGTCATCATTACTGGACCTCACAGAACACAAAAGACTTCAGTTTTACAGCAGGAAACATTTACAGAGAGGTTTCATTCTTGGGTTCACCGAGTAAAAATGAGGCAGAATAATGTTTCAGAAAAAAAAAAAGAACCATTTCTGTGGTGCATTCTGGGAGATTTGTATCTCTGTGAAACTAAATACTGTGGAATAGTGATGTGATAAGTATTGATAGAGGGGGAACAGCGAGCCTAAAATGATTTGGGGATAAAATGTTGCTTGAAGAGTTCAGGATTTCAGGATAAGGGGTGAGAAGTGGGTCATTTAGGGGCACCGAACCTGCGGCTTTTATTTGCCCCAACCCACCCATCAAAAAAGACACGAATTTACATAAGAGTGCTTAGCCGTGTCTGCTGAAAAACACCACCAGTCTGTGGTCCACACACACTTTCTTACATTCTTCCGCTTTTCATCTCTCTGTCACTTTCTAAACCATGTTCATGGCGTCTTCGGTGAGGAAGGAGTGAATGTACGCAAAGGAAGGCCGTAGTTTACAGTCTCTGTTCCAGCAGCTAAGCATCAGCTCATACAAACCCTGTGGGCACACAGCTGGGCGAGACAGGTACACCTGATCAAGAGAGAGAGAGTGAGTGAGACTGTGTCAATGTTTTTCTTATGAGGGTTAGTAAGTGTCAGCAAACACGCATACCTGTCTGCCCTGGTCTCTGAAAAACTCCCCTGCGTTGTCAATGACCTGTTCATCGGTCATGTGACTGTACGGCTGCTCCTGACACACGCTCAGCATCTCCCATAGTGTCACGCCGAATGCCCACATATCACTCGCCGTAGTGAACTTCCCCTACACATACACACACAACACCAGTATTATGTACATTGTGAGCTAATAAATCTGTATATGCATATGGCATGTTGTTTATGTGACTTTTTTATATCCAGTGGGGTCCAAAAAGAAAGAAACATGATCAAATTATATTTACGATTTGTGACACGATGCACGTGAGCTGCTTTGTTCAGATAAAAATGTTTCAAAGTTTTTTTATAATAAATGTAAATGCTACTTAATAAATATAAATTAAGTAATTAAATTCAATTATAGTAATGCAGAAAAAAATTCAGCATTTTCACTAGTGGTCGTAAGCTTTTTGGACCCATATATTTTTATTTATTAATAAATAAATAAAAAATTCAATGTGTTGTAATATATTTATTTACTAAAAGGTAATAAATATTAAGTCTGTAAATAAACATTAATGAATAAATAGAAATTAATTAACTAATTAAATAGGCTTCCCCCTTTTAAGCATAATTAAGATATATTCACTAGTTGTCACAGATTTTTGGAATTAATAAATAGAAAATACACAAAAATGTTATAATATTATATATATTTATAAGATAATAAGTTATAATAAACAAAAATAAATTATATACATCATTATATTAAAGCATAAAAATAAAACGATATATTTATTATTCATTAATAAATAAAAAAGTTATTAAAAGTTAAATTATAATATTTACTTATTATAAGATAAAAAAAATGTCTGATAAAAATACTAATGAATAAATATAAATTAAGGAAATGTATCTTCATTATAAAATGCAGAAAAATATGAAGGTTTTTCACTCATTGCAGACTTTTTGGACCCCATTATATACTGTATTTCTACTTTTATTTATTATAAGAATATTATAATTTCTTTATTATAAGATATCAAATATTAAGTCTGACAATAGATATTATTATATACATACATACATACATACATATATATATATATGTATGTATGAAGAGTTCAGATGCAAAAGCCTCTAAGCGCCGTCTGAAATATATATATATATATATATAT